CCCTGACATTCAGTCATATATTACAATCATTCGATGTTCTTGTAAAGTCAGCAAGAGAGCTCTTATTGCAACCAAAATAATGTCAAAATAAAATTTTCCAGAAATACATTGTTGAAGCCAACAAGTTAGATAAAACTTTAATACTAATTGTGCAAATATCCAGAAGGGATGTTACACAATACATCCTTAATTTGCCCCAGAGTATGATTACATAAAGAAATCAAGCAAATGCAATAAGATGAGTGGCCTGATAAAGAAACTACTCAAGTATTGTCTCTGTGGACAAAAAACCAAACTTTTAAAATTGAAGGCATATTAAAACCTAGGCAAGGTTAAAGATTTTTATTGTATGGTATATGCAACCCCCTTGTAAATTGTACATAACACATAGAACAGACCTGCACTTGTGGATGAAAATCATCCATAGCTGCAGTTAATGCAAGGATTATTTGGTTATGATATCGTTCTTGCATATCTGGACGGAAGTCAATCAACAATGAGGAAATTGCCCTACAAGCAGCCCATCTGACTCGAGGATGAGGATCTTCGAAACAATTAAGAACCATATCAACCACCTGCTCCAGATTCTTAATCATCACCTGTAATAGGAAAGAAGCCATGATTCCAAGGTAACCGCCTAAGAGAAAACAAAATCTATGAGATGACTTTAAACAGTAAACATAATATAAAGTATTCTGGTAAATTAATAGGACGAGGGCAAACTATCTTATAAATTTAAGCAGTTTTCCAGCAAAAACCACAGCTTAAACGCTACGAGTTGAAATAATATCTGTTATAATCAAACTATAGCCATTATAAATACAGAACTAAGATATGTATTGTTGTACCTTTAAGCAACCTTTAGCAATGAAAGCAAGTGCAAAGATAGCTGCATGGCGCTTCTCCCACTCTGGAGCATCCAAGTAAGTGCATAGCTGCTCTATGGCAATATGAGCAATAGATTTACCTCCTAATGCACGAGAAAACCGTTCTAAACACTCTTTACCAAATCTGAAGTTACTTGTTTCCCCTGTATCATCTTTCATGATCTCGACACTATGCCAAGCAGGGTCATCCTTAACATCTAGTAATAACTTCAATAACAATGCAAAACATCTGCTAATAAACAAGGGCAGCCTCTTTATCATACCTGGGGCCCTCTTTCTCGTCTGAACCAGAGTTATCAAAATTCCAACTGCCAAGTTCCTCGTCCCCTCTTTCAAACGCTCGTCCTCTGCTATCTCGAACATGGTAGACACCAAATCCATTAGCTGCCTCCTCAAGAACCTAGGCTCATCTCTCGCAAACTCCATGAAAAGTATCAGCACGTCGTGTGCTGCGACCTCCTCATCACTGTTGCTCAATGTATCAGTCAACCTTCTCAGTAGAGCTGGCAATAGCTCTTGAAACCGCTCCTTTTGATTTGAATTTGATACGCATTGAAATTGAATGAAGCTTATCGCAGCAGTCATGCCCGCAATCCTATTATCAAGATCGAGGGTATCATCATTTAGTGTATTAAGTAACCGTGAGTGCACATATTTTACCCAAGGGACTACTGTATCGCCTAGGACGTGAGCTAGTTGCCCAAATATAGAGGAAGCTGACTCTATTAACTTGTATGAAGATGAATCAAGGCATTGGTACAAGAATGGCAATAGTTCAGGCCAGTCGTTACGTGGGAGAAGTGAAGCTGCTAGACCCGAAACAGTGTCACCGAGGTGTTTGAGGATGGATTCTGATTCTTCAATAAGGATACGCGCAAGGAGAATAGCTTTAATGGTGAATTGAGTTGAAACACTTAGATTCCACCAAGTGGACAAGTCATTATCAGAAGTAAGCAACTTCTTTAGGAAGACAGCACACTTTTCACGGAAATCAATGTCAGAGTCGTAGATTAAGATAGAAAGCTTAATAGTAAGGGAGTCAGGATCCTTGGTGCTCCACATGTATTCGGAAATAAATGTTTCGAACGGAACATCCATTACTGTATTTTGACAAGAGAGAGGAGTATGGAGATGTGTGAATGCGGTATATCTAGCATTAAATCAAATGAATATGTAGAAAAGATGTTTCCCACCAATACCATATGAAAAGGTGAAAAGTAGAGGGTAAAGCGAGGCAAGGCGACTTGGTCTAACCATTCCATTTGTAGGAGGTAATGAAATGGGCTTAGTTAGTCAACTGATCCTTTAGGAAAGGACAAATAGACCAAATCAAAATGAAGAAATAACTCAAGAAAACAGGACCTCTAGGATTAGCGCAACAAGTTTGCCTATTTCGTTTCTTGATTATTTAAAAAAAAGTATGGTGCCTAAATTATTATTGGGTTCAAACTAGTCAGCTTTTCCAAACATTAGTGAACAACCGGCAAGGAATGTCAATGATCTAATGTGGCATTGACATTTTGCCATGCAAGTTGTTTTATTATATATTCTCCAGCAGCTCTAATTTCCTTTAATTCAATTATTTAATGGGAGTATTATTCTTCAAGATCTATAAAAGAAAAAAGAAAAAGTCTTTTCTGGAAGATGCCTAGGGGTCGAGTCCAAAACTTAATTAATAATTTTTTGAACATAAAATATATTTTTGATGTTAAAAAAAAAAAAGATACAATAATGGGTATTTCGCAGTATAAAACTGCGAAATATTAAAAAAATAATTTTTTATGACATTTCGTAGTACAGTACTGCGAAATAAGCTGATTTAAGGCCCCACCAATAATTAACTGACATAACAATAATTCAAATACATAAAACGCAGTATAATACTGTGAATTACTTTGAAAAATTGTACACCCCAAAATTGTATAATACTGTGAATTACGTTCAATTTTATAAAAATTCATTCAACACTTAAACTTCAAACATACGTTTATTCTCTCTTCTCCTTATCTTTCAATTTTTTACAATGTCTGAAGTGCCAAAAATAAGGGTTTCACTGTATTGAGAGGGGGGGGTGAGATTGTGGTGGAGAATAACTCTGTCAGGTATAGCTCACCTCCACAGTGTCATGTTAAATTGCCGCTTAATATGGAGTACGATACATTAGTATCGTTGCTACGTAAAAAAAATGAGTGAGCGGAGGCGTTCGGTTAGCCTTAAAGTAACCGGTAGATTTCCTTATTCAGTGACTCCGCAGGGGTTTGCTTATTATTCTGAGTTTAACATCGAGGATGATGAAACTCTTAGAGATTTTTTGCGGATTCCGGATGAATACAGGGAATTTATTGTAATAAAATTATTGGAAATGTACGTCAAGGTGGAAGACGTTCCTAGTAATGAGGGCGTGCATAGCAGGGATAACCCCCAATCATCGGGTGGTTATTCTGGAGCAGTGTTTGCCGGACAGATTGGAGATGAAAGAGCTTGCCTTGATTTAAACTTGTCACCACAGGCGAATGAGCAGCCAGAAAATAATGTTTCCACTTTATATAATCAACAAGACGACTGGTAAACTTCAATTTTACTACGTTTTAGCGATTTTTTTTTCATATTTTAATTGGATTTGTATTAACACTCATATTTTTTATAGGGGGTACCGTCCGGATTTGAATTTTACAAGTTATGACCTCGCCCCTAGTTGGAATCTGCGTAGGTCTGGAGTATTGGACCACGGTGGTCCATCTGGGAGTTATCACCAACCTGAAAATATCCATCATGAAACGTCAAGACAACACGATTTGTAAGTAAAGTTATAGCGATATCTAAAGTATTTTTCCTGAGTATTGGGTAACTTAGGTTTTTGTTCGTTTTGTGCAGTGAAAACGAGCTTCTTGGAGATAATAGTTATGTATTGGTTCCAGGCTTGATTTTTGACGCCCGGTGCCACCGAATAATTCTTAATTATTATAAGTCTCAATTTCAACATTTTTAGATTTTTGTTAACTTAATAAATTAAATTAAGTATGATTTTTGAAATTGGAGATAATAGTTATGTATGGGTTCCAGGCTTGGTTTTTGACGCCCGGTACCACCGAATAATTCTTAATTATTATAAGTCTCAATTTCTACGCTAAAAGGATCTACATTTTACTACGCTAAAAGGCTCTACATTTTACTTCGCTAAAAGGCTCTATATTTTACTTCGCTAAAAGACACTATATTTTACTGCACTATAAGGCTATACAATATGAACATAACATCAACAATACAAATAAACAAAATAAATAATATTATTTAACACAAACAATCAAGTAGCATTTTTGGTCACAAACATAACATAAATTCGGATATCAAATAAATCAAATCGGGTATAGAAGAAACAAAATTAAACACTAACATAACAAAAATTCACATGGAAACATACTAAACAATACTAATGCATGACTATATGAGTTTCGGCATAAACTAAATTGAAATTCCTCGATGTAAATATTATTGAAATCGAATTTTTGCACCCGAAACACGCAATCCAAAACTTCTTTTGTGTGTGGGACCTACACTTCTTGCTCTTTATGGGACGGATGGGGCCGAA